TTTGAGAGGTTCTCCACTCAATATTATCAGAGAAGGAGAAACAGCCGGCTACCATGGAACTCAAAAGTATTCAAAATTCAATAAATAAATAAGACATTATGAAATAAATATCTACATGAAGAAATACTAGACAATCATGTAATCTGACAATGAAATCATGAATTAACAGAATGGTATGTAAAATCTAAGCTCAATATTATGAAATACATTTCATTCTTCTTTTAAAATGTCTTCATTAATATGTTTTTTCAAAAGTCATTTTTTCATAATAATCCAAATTAATATTGAGCCATTTTTATTTAATTCATTCAGTTTTTATTACATAATGTCTTTTTAACAAAGACAACTTTTATTTCATAATAGTGTTTTTTCATAATGACACTTTACAGCAGAATGTCTCAGTCCGTCAGTCAAGCCAGTGGGTGTGACCTGCAACACCACTGATTAATCCTTCCACATCGTTTGGTTTTCCTGGATTTCTCTGAAATAGAACAAGGCAGTCAAGACTAACGGGGTGGAGCCAGTGTGTCATTGGCTGCTAATTCAGTCAGACAAAAGCAATCACTCACAAAGTATGGACAAGGTGCATGTGTGTCAGAATCCGTGGGCAGGATGCTTATGAGTACGGGTCCTCGCCGACCTAGCAAGGCCAGGTCCTTGCTCGACCGCTAAGTCCGGAACCTAGCGGCTTTGTGGCCCATAGGTCCCGTCACAGCCGTTCCCGCAGCTACACGCAAAGGAAAAATGCTAAAGCTAGCGAAACCGAGCAGGAATATTTAAGGAGCTACAGCAGCTTCACGTCCATCAGCAGCGTTTGTTCACAACCGTTTTCAGGTAAAGTAATTTTGTTTATTCTAGAAGCTTTCAGGACTTACATATTAACTTTAGATAATTTCATGTATGTTTTAAGCTACAGATTGAACTGGTTAAATGTACACAACACATTTCTACAGAGTATTATTGTTTATGTTTATGTATTTAGCAGACGCTTTTGTCCAAAGCAATGTACAAGTGATAATCGGCATGTTGCCCTTAAGGCTAACAACAACAATAACATCAACTTGACATCAATCAAGGAGAGGAGGGAATAAAGGAGTGGATGGTAGAGAGGGGGGATGGGTGCAGGGAAGGTGCTAGTTAAGAAGATGCTCTCTGAAGAGCAGGGTCTTCAGGAGTTTCTTGAAAATTGAAAAGAAAGCCGCTGTTCTGGTAGTGCTTGGAAGGTCATTCCACATTTGTGGAACGATGCATGAGAAGAATCTGGATTGTCCTGAGCGTGGTGTAGGCACTGCTAGCTGACGATCCTGTGATGACCGGAGCGGCCGGGCTGAGGCGTAAACCTTTGCAAGAGGATTCAGGTAGATGGGAGCCGTACCATCTCGGACTTTGTATGCTAGTGTTAGCAATTTGAATTTGATGCGTGCTGCTAGCGGTAGCCAGTGGAGCTCAATGAACAGAGGGGTGACGTGTGCTCTTTTTGGCTGATTGAAGACCAGATGCGCCGCTGCGTTCTGGACCATTTGAAGAGGTCTCACAGTACAGCCTGGAAGACCAGTTAGAAGGGCATTGCAGTAATCGAGGCGGGAGATGACAGTAGATTGCACCAGGAGCTGGGTGGCATGTTGTGTTAGGTATGGTCTGATCTTTCGTAAGTTCTACAGCGCAAAGCGGCATGAACGAGCAACAGGGGTAACATGATCTTTAAAGCTCAGGTGTTCATCAATCACAACACCCAGATTTCGAACTGCCTTTGAAGGAGCCAGAGATAGGAAGTCATTTTGGATTGAGATATTGTGCTGTATGGATGGTTTTGCTGGGATGACAAATAATTCAGTTTTAGAGAGGTTGAGTTGGAGATGGTGGGATTTCATCCATTTTGGTATGTCAGAGAGACAGTTTGATATTCGTGCAGAGACAGTGTGGTAGTCCGGTGGAAATGACAAATAGAGCTGGGTGTCATCTGCATAGCAGTGGTAGGAGGAGCCATGTGATCGAATAATCTCACCCAATGAGGTGGTGTGCATTGGAAAGAGAAGAGGTCCTAGTACAGAGCCCTGGGAGACTCCTGTGGCAAGATGGTACACGGTAGAGGATTGTCCAAGCCAAGATACACTGAATGATCGTCCTGTGAGGTACGATTCAAACCAGGCATGTGCTTTCTCTGTGATGCCCAAGCTAGAGAGTGTGGACAAAAGGAAGCCATGGTTGACAGTGCCAAATGCAGCCGATAAGTCGAGCAGGATAAGCACTGAGGATTTGGCAGTCGCTCTAGCTTCTTTTAAGGATTCCGTCACTGCTAACAGAGCAGTTTCAGTGGAGTGGCCCTTTTTGAACCCAGATTGGTAAGGGCCAAGCAGACAGTTTTGTGAGAGGTATTCTGTGATCTGCTTGAAAGCCACCCTTTCAATGATTTTGGACAGAAAAGGGAGGAGAGAGATAGGTCGGTAGTTCTCCACATGATTTGGAGGAAGAGATGGGTTTTTTAAGCAGCGGTTTAACCTGAGCATGCCTGAGAGAGGTGGGAAATGTACCGGATGTCAGTGAAGCATTGATCACATGTGTGACTGCTGCGGCTACTGTAGGAGCAATAGCTTGGAGCAGCTTAGTCGGAGTGGGCATGTAGTAGGGCAGCTGCACGTGAGAAGCTTGGACATGCAGTTTTCAGTGACGGGGAAAAAGGAAAATGAAGCAGTAGGGCTTGAGATGGTTGGGCTAGAAGGGGTTTGTGGTAGCGAATGTTCAGGAGTGGCCAGTTGAGTAAACTGTTTGCTTATAGCTGCCATTTTGTCAGTGAAGATTGCATGTAGCTGCCACTTTGTCAGTGAACCTGCCCCCCAATTTTATTTGCACCTTAAACACTTCCACCAACGACATTCCACGCAAACACACACTTAGGGCCTTGGGAGTGAGCACATCCAATGGCACTTGGCAGGGGGATTTCTCAGCCTCATCCCAAGTGCCGGTGCCCACTTCCAATTTTAAACTGCACTTAGACACTGAGGGCTGTGGGTGCAAGTGGGGTAGTGTGGTGGCGTCAGCTGGCGTAGGCCAGACGATGCCTGCACTGCCCGCTCACCACAGCCATGGAATACACCTCATCAACACTCACTAACACTATATTAGAGCAGGCAGTGGGAGACTAGGGGTCTTAGCACACCTCTGTTGTCGCTTGGCTTCCCGGGGCTGGAGGCTAGGAGGGAGATCCGGCTGTCTGGCTGGGGTCTGGGGTGGTGGGTTGCTGTGCTCAGCGTTGGGCGGGGGAGCCTGCTCATCAGCACCCCAGCAGAAAGGTTCGAACTCTGAGAACCGGTAATGGTTGTACCAAATGTGCAGCAGTACCGGGACCAGAGTGAGTAGGGTGTGTATGGGGAGCAGGAGTGGGTGTCCGGCGTGCATTTTTGTAAGTCTTTGGTTGTATGTATGTGTGAGCATGAGGGAGGGAGTGTGTGACTGTGTTTGTGTATGACTGTTTATGTCAGGTGGGGCCTTTGACTCCTCCCTTCTCATGGGACTTCTTTTGATGATATAGATATACGTCTCAGCTCCCCCTGCCACACCTGGTGTGGAGTGCGGTGCTTTGGTCTGCCTGGGTCGTGGCTCCCGGGTCATGGAGTTTAAGATTTTTGGCATCTGCCTGATCAATTCCGGTGGCTGCCTGGTGGGGTCTGGGTCCCTGGGCTCTGCTGGGTCCCCGGCGGGGGTGCTCACCCCTGGGTCCTGGGTCATTAGGTCCTGGGCTCGGCCGGCTAGGGGGTGGGAGGCTGAGGGCGGGCCTGTGGGCTTGCCGCCGATATCTCCCGGGACTCTGCCGGCTGCTGGTTGTGGCCCCCTGGGGGTGATCCACTGTGCCTCTCGAGGGCGGCGGGGGCCTTTCTTATTTACCAGATTTATTCATTTTTTTTGCGTTGTCAGTGAGTAAATTAGGCGAAAATCTGTCTTAATTGTTTGTGGAAGTTGATTAACAAGCTGCCATCTGCTTCAAAACGCCGCCGTGTGTCCGGTGATCGGGCCGTCAGCGCATGTGCATGCTCACATCACCACCCATTTAAAAAAGTTTTCTCCTCACATAAACTAATGTGCCACAAAAAGGACATTAATATCACCAACCATTCCCATTTTATTAAGGTGTACCATATAAATGGCCACCCTGTACATTTTGAGTAAATAACAAACGTACAGTTCCATTGTCTTTGTTTATCCACCTCACCCGAAACCCTTCCCTTGGGGTTTTCATCAGAGTTTTTGAACATTGCAACATGTAGAGAAGGACAACATGACACAATTCACAAAGCTCCCATGGTTATTAACTCATTCGCTGCCAGCCATTTCCTGATCGGTAAAGCCCTTCGCTGCCAGCGTTTCTCACCGTTTTTACAGTTTTTTTTTAAGAGTCACAGAACGTTGCGCGTTAGGATGATGTTGACGCTAAAACAACCAAAACAAAGCGGAGACTCCTCTTACATCAGATAGAATCCGCGAATTTCGAGCTTTATCCGTTCCTTCATAATCCGTTGTTGAATTGTGATCGGCAGAAGCTTTTCTGGTTCGCGCCTCACTTTTTTCTACAGCAGCGGCCCTAAACGATCTCCTAACACGTGGATTGTCTGCTTCCTGACCACAAGACGTGTGACGTGTGCAGAGGAAGATCGGCTTTAGAGCTGAGATGTTTGTTCTCACGGTGCGGGGGCTCGTTCCGATGCCCACACAGTAAAAACATGCAAATGACGACTTTTGGCAGTGAATGGTTGGATTTAAAATGACGACTTTAGTCGTCAATAGCAGTGAATGAGTTAATGCTCATCAGACAGACACCAGACAGATTTCCTGTCTCAGGAATAGTCAAAAAGATGCAACAGTCATGAGGTCCCCAGAATTGGCTTTTGCACATCTGAGAGCCTCTCAGGAGACACTGATGTTAAAGATCAGGAGTCAAATATTAAACTCAACCAGCAGAAAAAATCATCATCTTTTAGGTAATTTAAAAAGTCATCCATTCGTACCTGAAAGGAGTGGGGCGTGTCCTCCACACAGTACACCCTGATAGTGAAGCCCAGAGAGTTGCTGGAGTCCAGACCACCAAACACGGCCAGTCTCAAACGCTTAGCTGCCTCCTGGTTCAGAGCCTCCCCCACCAGCGCGTAGCGACCCGGCTGACCCAGGAGAACGTGACACCTCTGGGCCTCCAGCAGACAGTAGCAGGACGTGCTCTCCTCGTCCACAGACATCACTTCCTTTGGAGGTAAAGACAAATCAGCAGATGCTGATGTGTCAAAGAGTCGGGAAAATAAAAACGTGGTTCCTCAGGGCCTAAAGGTTACTTCTTAGAACATTTCACTAAAGATTTCAGTAACTGTTTAGTAATATTATCATACCAACACTCTCAATAACATTTATCAGCAATTATCTAATGCTGCATCCAAAAGCTGCTTTAACTGAAGTATCAAATAGTAAAGTAGGAGCAGTAAGTTATTATTATTTGCATCATTATTGATACCAAAATCATCAATAATTATTTTAGTTCGTGTTCTTTTAATGACTCTTAAAATTTAAAAATAGTGTCTAGAACAAAAGATTTCCACGTTGTTTTACCCATAACATGGATTACTCCTGGTAACACGGACTTGTTAATACAATATGTGTATTTATTTATGTCATTTATATCTAAGAACTGCAGCTATATCCTTTGTTTTGCTTTTCTCTTTGTTTTTCATTATTTAATCCCACCTAATGCACTTTAATTACATCACCTTGTACAATAAAAACTGTGTGAACAATCAATTAAAACACACTGATTTGTAAATAAAATAAAAAAATAAAACATTGATGGGTGTTTAACAACACATGAATGTGTCGCGTAAGATCAAGCTGAAATAGATAGCACCCCCTAGTGGCTGGCTGCTCTAAAGGATTTACATCCTGCCCTTCATGTAAAGAAATTTGACATTTTCCTAACAATGACATTAACTGCACCTTTGATTTTTTAAATATGTTTATTCACACAGTAATTACACAACGGCTGTATTATATTTAGTTAATTATTATTATTATATTATATCAAATTATATTACATTATATTGTATTATATCATATCATATTATATTATCGTCGTCGTCTTCCTCCGCTTATCCGGGTTCGGGTCGCGGGGGCAGCATCCCAACTAGGGAGCTCCAGACCGTCCTCTCCCCGGCCACCTCCACCAGCTCCTCTGGCAGGACTCCAAGGCGTTCCCGGACCAGATTGGAGATGTAACCTCTCCAACGTGTCCTGGGTTGACCCGGGGGCCTCCTGCCGGCAGGACATGCCTGAAACACCTCCCCAGGGAGGCGTCCACGAGGCATCCTGACCAGATGCCCAAACCACTTGAACTGACTCCTTTCGATCCGGAGGAGCAGCGGTTCTCCTCCGAGTCCCTCCCGAATGTCCGAGCTCCTCACCCTATCTCTAAGGCTGAGCCCGGCCACCCTATGGAGGAAACTCATTTCGGCCGCTTGTATCCGCGATCTCGTTCTTTCGGTCATTACCCAAAGCTCATGACCATAGGTGAGGATTGGGACGTAGATTGACCGGTAAATCGAGAGCCTGGCTTTCTGGCTCAGCTCCCTCTTCACCACGACAGATCGGCTCAGCGTCCGCATCACTGCAGATGCTGAACCAATCCGCCTGTCGATCTCCCGATCCCTCCTACCCTCACTCATGAACAAGACCCCGAGATACGTAAACTCCTCCACTTGAGGTAGGACCTCTCTCCTGACCCGGAGTTGGCAAGCCATATTATATTATATCAAATTATATTATATTACATTATTATATTATATTAAATTATATCATATTATATCATATTATATTATATTATATTATATTATATTATACTGACAAAAAGCATTAAAACAAACATTAACATCAGAACAGTAAGAACTACAGAAACAAGACATTTGTATTTTCAGGGATGTTTCTGAACACGTCAGAGACAAAAATCTGGAAGGCTCTCATAAGAAGCTGAGCACAGCTGAACAAGGGCCAAATGGATAATGACACATCTCTCTAAACAGATGGGGATCCAGTAACACTGACGAAACGGATTAGCGGGGTGCATTTGTATCTGATAGCCAGTTGCTCCTCGCCGTGTGCTGAATTCTGCCTGAATCACTTCTGAAACATACCTGTGACCACGCGGTCACCTCTGCATACGGCCCAGCCGAGGCTTTTAGAAGCAACACTGATTAATTTAGTAGCTCCTTAAACCTGCTCCATTAGTGTAGCAGCACACATGACGGATAACCATGGTGTAGCTCATCCCCACCAGGCAGCCGGAGGAAAAACGAAAGAGTCAAACGACTGTTAAAAAAAAAGGCAGGGTGAAATAGGATTGGTGCTTTGAGGCAAAAGCAGTGAAAGAAAGAAGGGAGGATGGAGTTACCTCCATCTCCCGTTAGATAACTAATTTTAGACATTAGCTTTTGAGTAAGAACCCTTCCTGAGATAAAGGCCTCATTATTTCTCAGTGACAGAGATGGGCCACCATGTTACTTCTGAAGGAGAAGATTCTTCATCTTTGTGTCCTTGTCATGTCTTGCTACACTGTTCTGTGTTGGGCCAGAGCTCCCATCACTGATGGATATTTTGATTGTTCTCTTTTGTGCGACACATCTGCTAGCAAATTACATCTGTGTAAATGTCACAGCGAGTGAGAGGATCAGCGTGGCAGAGTCACATCCCCACACCCAACGAGTTCAAGGAAACTGAGGCTCTGGGGTCACTCTGACACGATAAGGTCCCCGAAGCTTTGTGATGAGGTTAGTTAAACATTAGAAGAGCATCTCCACCAAACTGAGGAAACACGAGGGAAAGAACCGAAAGTTGTGAAACGAGTGGAGTTGAAGGACTTCTCTTAGAGCTGTTATTTTATTAAAACAGAAGGATGAGAGAAGAAAATCAGAGGAAATCATAAAAACAACACCTCAGAGGCTTTTAGGAAGGATGGTCTTAAAAGGGATACAAGGTAGTGTTCCCTACTTGTGTCCATATTTAGCTTCTCACCGGATTTCGCTAAAGGAGACATCTTATGACAGGGCTATTCAATTCCAAGCCTCGAGGGCCAGTATCCAGCACGTTTTAGTCTTAACCCTGCTTCAACACACCTGAATTCAATCAGCAAGTGATTAACAGGCTTCTGCAGAGCCTGATGAGCTGCTCAAGTGTGTTGGACCAGAGAAACCACTAAAACGTGCTGGATGCCGGCCTTCGAGGCCCGAACTTGAATACCCTGTCTTTTTAAAGTTTTAATATTTCTATGGTCCATACCACCATGTTCAAGAAGTTCTTTGAACTAAATCCCTTTCACATAAAGTGATATCAGCCCTTATATTCTTGACAGTTTCAGGACCTTCCAGAATGAGTTTCAGGGGTCTGTCACTTTAGTGATACAAGATGGAGCTGGCCACACCCTCCCAGCCCCTGATTGGCTGATATGAGGTGAAACTGCTGTAAAGACACTGACACCAGTCAGGGGATGTTTCTCAATGTCAAGGCACCTGGCCTTGCGAGGCGATGTCTAGCGAGGCCAGATGCCTTGCTTACGAGGACACTGCCCTTACTTGGTCAAAGAAAACTGTTAAATGGAATAGACTTGCATCACATGACCGCGGCTTCTACAGCGGTCACGCAACGTCATATGATACGGGAGATAACATTATATTTTACACGTATGAGGTTCAATATAAATATATACGTAACGAGCCTTTTACTTTTTAAATTGTGTATATGTTTGTTAAATTAAAAATATAAGCGGGTTTCTACCCGCTAGCCACCGAAGCTGCAACTACTAAGCAACTAACCAACCATAGATAACTTCTTTGGAACTAAAAAACATTTTAAATTAGTTGACTTACTTTTAAACTTGAAATTTGCCCCCGAAGTAGCTGCCGGCTTCTGATCCGCCGTCCTTTTGAAAATACTGAGACGCATTCTGGGAAATTTTTGACCAAGCCTAGGCTGCAAGACACCTCCTGTGTATCCTTGCTCAGCTAGCTAAACGGCTAACAACCGGAGAACACACGCCTCGGTAGAACATGAACATTGGAACACATCTTGGCAGCTTCTGATGACGTATCTCCTAGGCAACCGGGGCGGGGCCAAGACATCAAGACACAGTTCCTGGGCATTGAGAAACACCCAGTGACTTGATGCAATTTGCTGGGTTCCTTATATAGGAAACTGTTTTCTTATTGGCTTAATGAACTGATCTGTATTGGATTGTTTACTATGTGAAGTGCCCGGAGACGACTCTTGTCGTGATTTGGCGCTTTATAAAAGGAAAAAAAAAGTTCAATGATATGGGAGGGGTTCGGAGTAGAGCTGCTGCTCGTCCAGCCTGAAGAGGTGCAAGATGTTTCTTTGCTAATTTATCTTATTGTGATGTCACAAGCAACAACTTTTTCAGATTGTTTTAGACACATAATTCTTACAATCAAACACTGACAGAAAACAGATGTGTTTTTTTTCTTCCATGTTTGAGTGTTTATATAGGCAGTAGAGACTCACATGGCAGCAAAAAGGAAGCTGAAGGTAAGCTTTTCAGAATAAAATCCTTTTTAAAGTCATCTGTTCAAAAATGTTTTCAAATCAACTTGAAAGCTTTTCATCTAAAAAGTGAAATCTCTTTAGGATTAACCCTCTAATTTGTAGATGAATACTCTCTAGATCATTCTGCGGTTTGTATTTTATTTCTGACTAGAAAAAAAGTGAATTTCATGCTTTTATCACCAAGAAATTCTCTTAATAGTTTTTAGATAAAGATAAAAACGAAGTGTTTTTAATCCATCTAGAGATTTAGAGGTAAATAGGGACTCACTAAGAGTCTGAGTTGAGACTTTGTAAGAATAAATTGCATGGATGCTTAAATAGTAGATTTGTTCTGTTATAATTGCAACAAAGGGTAGATTTGGGAAAAAAATAACCCTGACGTTAAAATAACATCCCAACCATCATTAGCTTAAGAAGAAAATGGTTCAAGAAAGGTAAGAGCTGTCATTCGCATTTGTTGCGACATGTTTTGGATAAGAATAACATGAGGTTGAGGTAGAAAACTAGATTTCAAGCAGAAGGATAATTGTGAGCTGGCAACCTTGAAATCAGCTCCACGGCTGAATGACTGCACTGCTGGACTAAAAACTCTCATCAATCAGACTGTGTTGGTGTTCTGAGCGCCGGAGAGAAATCTGATGTTAAGTGTGTCAAAGTCCTGCAGTGAAAGAAGCCCCTCACCTCCCACTTGTTGTCCTGGGTTTGCCTCTTTAACCTGATGGTCCAGTTCTCAGCAGAGACTTCTGCACAATGGGCTACGGTCATGGCTGTGGGACAGGACAGGTCAAGGCCCGGTGGGCCGTACGTGACGGCAGGACTCAGAAAGATCTCTGACCCATCCTCGGACATGGCGCTGTGCACACAGAGACATGAGTGCAGTTAACTAATTACAGAGATGTGCAATTTAACACATTCATATTTCGGCATTCAGTGATGTAATAAACATAAAATAGGAGTGGTCATCTTTTGACGTCCAGGTTAAGTTTATTCCTTCTGAAGGGAAATGTCACATCTCTCAGTCTGTCTTCATGGTTTTTTTTTTTTATATATATTGTTGCAAGTAAAGAAAGCAAAGGATGGCAAAATATACTGGTGGTGTATGGCATCTGTCAAAAATACACCTTCATTAACTTCAGTTAGGACCCCTAACCAGAGGTCACTAGACATTTTTCATTTCACATTGTTCTTTTTTAAAATAACAACCAATAAACATTCACTACTATGGAGCATTTTAGGCTCCTGATCCGACATTTTAACTTCAAATCCGATCCAATGCTGAAATATATTTTTAGCCAGTAGCTCAAGTTAACTTTTCAAGACAAATTTCAATTATAAGAATTACTATTATTGTTGTAAATCCCATGAAATCAACTTCCTAGCTTTATTTAGCGGAGAATTGCTACTAGATGACAGATCGCGTTCGGTTACAAAGGGCACGAGGCGGGCTGCAGCCAGCAACAGCAGCTCTCGCTTTGTTACTCTCTTTTTATTCTTTGCTTTTTCTTCTGTGCGTGTGTGTTTTAATGCCTTTAAGGTGAGCGCAGCTAATGCTAGCTCTCTTACTGCAACACACTTCCCCGTGGGAAACATCGGTTCTGCCTCCAGAATTACATAGAAATGAAGATGCTGCAGGGCGGGACGTAAGCTCCAGGAGAGGAAACTGTGTTCTTTTTTTTATTTTCTTTTCTTTTTACAGATTATGGAACTTTCTGGGAGGGCTCTGGGAAACATGAATTGGATGTTTGCTTCAGGGATCAGCTGTGGGTGCTGCTAATGCTGGGTGTAAGCAGCTGTGTGTGTGGGTGTCTGCTCTGTCTTCTCGATCCCCAGTGAGACGTGGAGGATGGCTGCTTATACTGAGCCAGGATCCTCTGGAGGTTTCTTCCTGTTAAAAGGGAGTTTTCCTCTCCACTGTCGCTAAATGCTTGCTTAGTGTGAGGATTGCTGTAAAGACTCTGACACCAGTCAGTGACCTGATGCAGTCTGCTGGGTTCCTTTTATAGGAAACGTTTTACCGATTGGCTTAATGAACTGACCTGTATTGGAATGTTTACTATGTGAAGTGCCTTGAGACGACTCTTGCCGTGACTTGGCGCTATATAAATAAACTTGAATTGAATTGAATTAATGCAGGAAATAGTGGTTGGACTGTAGAGGACACTACATAAATACAAGCTGTTTACCAGTTATAATAGTGATGCACCGATATGAAATTTTAAGGCCGATACCGATATTAAGATCACTGTTATGGTCGATAACCGATATTTGCCGATACAAAAATTCTGACATTAATGCTTCTAAAATCAGCATATTTTGTATAGAATGAAAATTATTAAAGCTGAATTTATGTTATTACGTACACAAAACACACACATTTACTGTTCTGAGATGATTACAATCACTGTCACGTAACTAAACAATTACACTTCACCCCTCTCAGTCTCTGAAACAGGCAAAAAAATAAAGATGAGATGGAAAAATATTGGTTGTTTTATTATCGGCCCGGTTTTATTTATCGAGCCGATTCTGATGTGTTACAAAATGACTAACATCGGCTGATACCGATATTGATGCTGATACATTGTCCATCCCTAATTCATACACAACCGTTTAGGAATAAAAATGTGACTACAGAACAGAATCATGTGGCCTTAAGTTGGCCGTGATGCTTTCTGTGTGTTCAGATGCTTTTATTTTGACGAGCTGCACTTTGTTCCTAGTGTTTTTCCAGCTGTAGAAGAGAAATAAATGCAATGTGTTTGCTTGCCAACTCAATAGTAACTCAGTATTGTGATACCAATATTGATCAAATCAATCGTTATGATTTCCTCCATAATTTAGCGTCCTAGTTTAGAATTTAAACCCAACTCCATATTTTACTTTTAACTCTAAATTAATAGCAGCTTTAATAATCTGAGTGTGATCATGCACCTGGAGCACAAAGTTTACCTTTAAATAAAGGACACTCAAATCCTTTGGCACTCATAATGAATCCATCCCTGACTAGCTGACACACAGACACACAGATGGAGGAAGATTAAAGCACCAAGACTAATGGACAGCGAGGCTGGGGAGGACAGGCTTTAGCACAGAGTGTGTAAGCTTTGTGGGTCGATGGAGCTTATGAAGGCTGCTCCGGCCAGCCTGGTGACAGATTAGCCGGGCCAAGCTGCTCTTGGCCAGAGGCCCAAACTTGGCTGGGAGCTGCGAAGATGGGAGCAATCGATGGGACCACCATCAGTCATGCAGCTGGCCTGGCTGGATCCCTCGCGTACACAGGACACAGCGTTGGTGCTGCTGTCGCTGCAGCCGCGTGGATGTTCCTCAGGACCATTAATATAACCGTGGCAGGAACACAAGAGGGTGCAGACGCATCAGAAATGCTTAAGGTGTGCAAGGGGTCACACATGCATGCACAAACGCAGGAAGCATCAGCAGAGGGAGAACGCGGCGGTAAACACAGGAGCATCGTTTTTTATGGGTTACATTTCTCATGTTGGCAGAAACACAGGGCACCACCTGATTCACATATGTGATGTTTGAGTTTTTTTTTTTTTCCCTGTTAGGATAAATAAAAAAATAAAAAAACACTATGAAGAAGCTTTCCAGTGTCTGGACTGGCTTATCTCACAATAAAACTTTCCAAACTCAGAAAGTTTTACTGTATGGCTAAAAACGCCACCCATTTTCAGCTTTAGAGGATAGTAAAATAATATTGATAAATAAATAACAGTCATAATAAAATGATCATATGTGTTGTCACCAGGTTGTAAAGCTTTGCAAATCTAACGTCGCAACAGAAACCCATTCTATCACCTCATAGAAATAAGAAGTAAGTCAGTTCATCCTTCCTGATTCAACATGAATCAAGAGGTTTAGTGCTGCTGATCAGCTGGAAGAACAAGGTGAAGCATACAGGTGTGTGTTTACACAGCAACAAGAAGGTAAGACACCAAAAATGACCTTAGTCCAGGGTCACACAATATGCAATACTCTGACTAATTTGATCAGACATTCCTAGTGTGTGTGTGGTGTGTTAAGAGTGCTCTGGTCTGCTTGGAAAGAAGTTGTGACCTCTTAGGTCATTAATTGGGGACACTAAACATGTTCGATGGTCTTGGTCAGGCCTCAAGGTCAAACCAGCGTGCTGCCTGTTTAATGTGACGTGTATCTAATCAGAAAGCGAGGTGAATGAAGCTCCTCCTCCACCATGTTTGTTTACTCTGAAGTCCTGTTTGATCTCGAGACGATTTGTGAGATATCCTACCTGAACGGAGAATGTTTTTAGGGTGATGTCATTTGAGCATCGTGTGTAGTTTTTACCAAACTCACCATACACTGTAGGACCAACGCTGTTATATTATTGGTGTTTTATCATCACGTGTGTGGGGCCTCTTATGTTTGGAAAACGGTCCGAGAGAGGCCCACCTAGCATTAGAGATCCAACTGCTGCCGTCCATCAATCTGAAGGGTTAAAGGTAATGTCTGAACCCTCAGAGTCCATCATTCTACACAGAGAAAGAACATTTAGGAAAGCTGATGAGAGAACGATCCACCAAGTTCACCCCAGGGTCACCAATCAGACCAGGTAGAAAAACCCCCAAGAGCTCCATCAGACTCCACAGACCTCATTTAGCAGGTTGAAGGCGTATGGACCCAGGCACCTTAAATTAATCATGAACTCCTCTCTGGCCCAAAGTATTCTAGAGTCATACGCGAGACCATCTGTCCAACAGCGGAAGCTCGGACCAAACTGGGTCATAAAATGGGACGATGAGCCCCAAACACAGCAGAGTGGCTGAACTGTCCAGCCCAAGTCCAGACCTGATCCTGATAGAGAAGATTTGCTGGAGAACAAAAGAGCAGAAGCTAATGCCTGAAAACATCCATCCACTGAAGCAAAGCTGGAAAGAAGAACAGAACAAATTCTTTTCCGGCAAAGTAAAATGATAAATCTGCTTTTCAGGCTGCATTTGAAAAATGTTGGACATCTGGGATTATTTAGATTAATAACAAAAACTTTTTTATCAGTTTGTTTTTAAATCACACACATTTTCTCTCCTACAGAAAATAAACAAGTTGCCCAAAAGTTGAATTCTTTTTTGTTATTAAAATAAGGTAAAAATATCAGGTATATTTGTGTGACAATAACAGCAATGAAGTTCAAGATGAAGAAAAAGAAACTGAATACATTTAGTTAGAAAATTAGGTAGAAGGTGCAAAATGAAACGGTATTACCATGATTAAGAGGTTATTTACTTCACTAGGAGATTACTTTTAGAACAGCTTAACAAGCATTAATGTCTCATATTCCTGTGAATTAATTTTCTGAACTGCAGCTACTTTTATCATCTTGTGCCTTAAAAGCTCGTTCAGCTCAAGCTTCTTTAGTTTACGTTACGCTTTTACCAATCAGTGCTAGAAAACTAAAAGATCTGCTGTCGAAACGAGATTTTACACTCTCAGGCGGCACCTTGTCCGTGCAGCTGCACTTTTGTGCTAATCAGCCGCTGGCTCAGAGGAAACCAAGGTTACCTGCTGCTGTGACTATGGTAATTAGCCAGACTGCCTGTGAACAAAGATTAAAGATGATTCTTCAGCATCCCTGATTGTGTTTATAGGAACAAAAGAACAATCGCTGCAGTCATTGTGGGTAGTTACAAATGCAATTGTTAATTAAGCAGAACCAAGCGTGTGCAGAATGCTCATCCAGCTTCTTACGTTTTCATTTCATACAATAAAAGCTCAGATCATGATTTTTTAGCACATTATCTCTTTGTTACATGTAATAATAATGCAACAGCATTAAACGGTTTGTGAATTGGAATCCTAATTACTGACCCTTTGCACTGA